TGGACGATTGGGAACAGGCCCCCAGCAGCTGTCCTGGGTGGGGGAGGAGAAGGTTTTGCAAGGGAGCCAAATCGTGTCCCCTGTGGGCAGTTGCAGAGGGTGCCATGGGGGCAGTCAGAGGATGCAAAAAGCCTCTAAAAGACACCGCAGGCGGCCCCCGACTGACAACATTTCGTTTAGTGACCATTCGGAGTTACGACGGCCCTGGAAAAAGTGACTTACAACCGTTTGCAAGGAAGGGAAGAATCTTGTCATCTCAGATTGCAAAGTGTGCGTTGTGCACTCAGAGGAGGCGGAAGCCGCTGAAGGACATCGCAGGCGGTCCCCAACTTGTAACTAGTTTGCTTAGCGACCGTTTGGAGTTACGGCGGCCCTGGAAAAAGGGACTGGCGACTATTTCTCACACTTATCATCCTTACGGCATCTCCGTGGTCACTGGGTCAAAATTAACTTGGCAGCTGGCTTCTGTTTACGACGGTCACAACACCCCAAGGACCCCCTTTGGTGACCGTCTGACAAATGACCTGAGACGTTTCTTTAAGAAAAGATAGTTCCTGAGCATGTGCAAAGGGCCTCTGCCACTGGGTGGTCCCCCTCCCCTCCCCAAGGGCTGGTCCTGAGGTTACAGATGAGAGAATTTGCAAAAAGGAGGAATGTCTTCAGATTCTGGAGCAGCTGGACGATCCTGTGAAATGGGGAAGGGTCTGGGGGCCCGGAGAGGCTCCTCTGCTTCCCCCCCCCCCTGTCCTCCTGGCGTCCTGAGAGGCATCTGGCCCTGGGAGGGGAGGGGGTGTCGCCGGTCAGGGGCTGCTGCCAACATCTGCAGCCCATTTCCTTCCTGGGCTCCATCCAGAGAGCGGACTTTCCACTGGACGGCTCACTTTTTCCCCTGGTGAAGTTGGTGCGTGTGAAGGATTGTGGACGTTTGCACGCTTTGGGGAAAGAGGGACACCCCCCCTCCTCCCTTTACTGCCCCCCCCCACTTTGTTTTGGAGAAAACAAGCAAGTCAATCTTGGGCTTTTGGTCTTTCAGGGAAGGAATTTGGTTTTAAACGACTAAGGTTTTGGAGTTTAAAACGTTGGATTCCGTGGAAGCCTGATTAATTTGTCTGTCAATCTCTATCATCTGTCTCTGTCTATTTGTCCATCCATCCTGTCTATCTATCTATCCTCTATCCATCCATCCACCTCTATCATCTGCCTGCCTGCTTCCTTCCTTCCTTTCTTTTTCTTTCTTTCTTTCTCTCTCCCTTCCTTTTTCTTTCTTTCTTTTTTTCTTCCTCTCTCTTCCTTCCTTCCTTCCTTCCTCTTTCTTTCTCTCTTTCTTCCTTTCTCTCTTTCTTTCTTTCCATCCATCCATCCATCCATCCTGTCTATCTAACTATCCTCTATCCATCCATCCACCTCTATCATCTGCCTGGCTGCCCCTTCCTTCCTTCCTTCCTTCCTTCCTTCCTTCCTTCCTTCCTTCCTTATTTATTTATTTATTTATTTATTTATTTATTTCTCTTTTTTCTCTCTCTTTCTTCCTTTTTCTCTTTCTTTCTTTCCATCCATCCATCCATCCATTCATCCATCTATCTATCCTCTATCCATCTATCCACCTCTATCATCTGCCTGCCTGCTTCCTTCCTTTCTTTCTTTCTCTCTCCCTTCCTTTTTCTTTCTTTCTTTTTTTCCTCCTCTCTCTCTCTTCCTTTCTTCCTCTTTCTTTCTCTCTTTCTTCCTTTTTCTCTTTCTTTCTTTCCATCCATCGATCTATCCTGTCTATATATCTATCCTCTATCCACCCACCCACCCACCTCTATCATCTGCCTGCTTCTTTCTTTCTTTCTTTCTTTCTTTCTTTCTTTCTTTCTTTTTCTTCATTCCTTCCTTTCTCTCTCTCTTTTTTCTTCCTTCCTTCCTTCCTTCCTTCCTTCCTTCCTTCCTTCCTTCCTTCCTTCCTTCCTTCCTTTCTCTGTCTCTGTCTCTGTCTCTGTCTCTGGCTTCCTTCCTTCCTTCTTTCTTTCCTTCCTTTATTTCTTCCATCCACCTACCTACCTACGTACATTTTTATTCAGGTAGTCCCAACAAATTTCGGTTGCCAAGCGAGACAGTTGGTAAGCGAGTTTTGCCCCGTTTTGCGACCTTTCCTGCCACAGTTAAATGAACCACTGCAGTTATTTCTCGTCCTGCCTCCAGGTGCTTTGGGAAATAAGTTGACCCCCCCCTCTTCTCTGGGGCAGCCCATGAGACTGCTGTCCCGCCCCCCCCCCCCCGGTCCTCCTTTCCTC